CTGTACTGACAGAGGACTTGTGTGTAGTGCAAAAGGAAACATTTTCAGTAACATACTATATGAGGGAAATCTACACTTGACGAAAGGCCAAGCGTATTCATAACAGACAACCCAATCTTCTCGTCAGAGAGTATGTTACATACGGACTAATACCGCAAGGGTTCAGTTGGGGGAAAAAATCTCTCGTCGTGTGTCTCAAGGGGCTTGAAGCCAAGACGAACTGATTGGCGGTAAAGCGCCAGTCGTAAAGTAACTTTGACTTAGACTTACAACAGAGTCCTGAGGCGGCAATCATAAACGTATGAGTTTGGTGTGAGATGGACGTCAGCCTGCGAGGACATGAGCCCGGGAGCAGAGGATCGTTCGCTGTTGGAAAATGTTTTTTTTTTTATTATTATTATTGCTAGTGGGGTGGGACTAAGTCCCTTGTACTGCGGCCAATTCTGGCCTTTTGTACCAGCCCCAGATGATAGGTGTGGGTGATTGTGGAGCAATTGGTGGGATGAAGATTACAGGGGAAACCGAAGTATTCGGAGAAAAACTGCCCCAGCGCCATTTTGTCCACTACAAATCCCACTTCACCAGAGCCGGGATCGAACCCGGGCCGCCGCGTTGGGAAGCCAGCTACTAACCGCTTGAGCTATGGCGCTTGGAAACTGTTACTAAGCAACGCAGTGAAGACCGTGAATGAGAACAGTAGTCTGTCCGTGATAGTGATATGTAGATTTTAGTCACTAGTTGTTTAAGAGTTCAGTAAATCTGATTACCCATCCAAACCCCGTCTATAACAATTCAATCACGCGGCAATATAAAAGTTAAGTTCGTACCTCACAGAAAACATTACATCTCCGTTATAAAGACCAACCGGTTAAAGTAAATTAGAGAAACAATCGCTGTTTATATGAGAACCGTGGAAAATTAATATAATCTGTGGGCAGAATGCAGGCTTTGATATATGTATTTAAGTAGGATGTAACTTCGAAATGTGGTGTTGGAGAAGGATGGAGAAGATCAGTTGGACCGATTATATGAGAAATGAAGAAGTGTTATTTAGAGTCGGTGAGCAGAGGAATATCCTACACGAAATAAGAAAACGGAAGGCTAATTGGATTGATCATATCTTACGCAGTAACTGCCTTCTAAAAGAAGTTATTGAAGGAAAGATAGAGGGGCGGATAGAAGTGACAAGAAGACGTAAGAAGATGCTGGATGACCTTGGGGACAGAAGAGGATATTTTCATTTGAAGGAGAAACCTCTAGATCACATTAAGTGGAGGAACTGTTTTGGAAGAGACTGTGGACCTGTCGTCTGACAGATTACTGATGATGATGATATGTATTGACCACTTGACTTTAAGGGTTAATTGCAAGAGGGATTTTTCACACAGCTACAACACTCTACACAGAACGCTCCGGTTTAAGCCAGATATTGGTTCTTGAAACTGCTTCAGTGTCGTGAAATTCCATAAAGTAAACCTCACTCTGTTTGTCAGTTGATTCTCATGTTACGTAAGACTAGAGATGTGTTCCCACGGATTGTTCTTTCCAACTGCAGTTACAATAAAACACACTAAAAGCGAAAAAACGCTTCTTAAACAAGGGTAATATTTGTCATAATCTAAAACAAATGGAAATGATCAAGTCAAGGAGGATGAGGTGGGCAGGTCATGTAGCACGAATAGGGGAGACGAGGAATGCGTATAGGATATTGGTGGGAAAGCCGGAAGGAAAGAGACCACAGGGAATACCAAGACGTAGGTGGGTGGACAATATTAAAATGGATCTTAGAGATATAGGATGGGAGGGTTTGGATTGGATAGATCTGGCTCAGGATAGGGACCAGTGGAGGGCTCTTGTGAACACGGTAATGAATCTTAGGGCTTCATAAAATGTTGGGAAATTCTTGAGTAGCTGCAGAATTGGCGGCTCCTCCAGAAGGGCTCAGCTCCATGAGTAAGTATGTAAGTAAGTAAAACAAATGAGAGTGGCAGCCATATTACCGTCCGCCCGCCTACGTCACTGACGCATGCGCTTAGGCTATGATTACCTGTAGTTACATTCTTAAGCATAATTCTAATTCCATAGAGAAGAAGCCTTTAGAAGCTGCTGGTAGCTTTTTGGCCAAGACATTGTCATTTACTGGTCCCTGCATTGTGCCACTTTAATCCAATTATCTTATAGCGTTCGGTCTACATAGTCATACCATATTTCTTTAACATCCAGTGTCTCCGTCCACATTTAGATTAAACCTCTGTTTAAAGTTATCATCCAAAGAAGGGCTGGTCGGTCTCACTTTCTTCAAGAAAGAGGTTATGAGCCTAACCTAAATACAGAAAGAACGTGAAGCATTTATGATGTCCCCATGCATGCTACATATCTGGCTCACCACGTCTTCCTTGATTTGACAGTCGTAATATTATTCGAAGAGGTGTGGGTTTTATGTAATTTACAGGGTTCGTATATGATGATCTTTGAAAAATTAACATAACGTTAGAATTTACTTTTATGAAAAATGTTATATAGTACATCGATGTGGTCCAGAATAAAATTCGTCCAACATTTCCAGCAGCCCCTGCTCGGCTCTTATGTAAAAAAGGTAAAAAAAAAGGTAAAGCTATCCCTGTAAGAACCCGTGAAGTCCCATAGGGTTGTGAGCCTTAGGCAGCGGCCGCCTTTTACCTCCCATGAAGATTCCTGGTACTCATTTCTGTTAGAGGATGAGTCGACTACAGGGCCATAATGCGGCTGGAAGGATTAGGTCAACTGGAAAAGTCCAATGAACTCATCGGGATTCGAAATCGTGACCTTCCAGCTTGTAGCATAGTGCCTCAACCAACTACGCTACTGCGGGCCCCCCGTCTCTTGTGTATTATATTGATTTATTAAAATATAATTTACGCGATAATTTTATTTTATATATTTAACATAGTCTTCAAGTGCCGTCTGGAAATTGGCACTTGTTGTGTCTGGCAAGCAGACCGGTACAGACAAACATAACATTCCTCAAAGCATGCCGACAGCAATGAACCTTTTTCGTCCAGAGTGAATAATGATCCAGCAACAACTCAAATGCAAAATATCTATAAAAAAGTTTTTACATGGAACTTACTCGCTTCAAACAACATTTCCCTAGTCCCAAAATTAATCAGACTGTTGTGTGCTTTCATATCATGTAACATTCAGACAGACACACTTCCCAGGTGATTGCACTGTTTTGTACAACAAAGAACCAAAGGCTTTTTTTTTATTTCTCCAATTTATTATACAATCTATCCAGCTATTTTGGATAATAAGTACTAGTTATGATGAGTATGAAAGTAATTTAACATGAAGAACGTGTTCCAATGAACTCGTTCTATATGTAATTTAACTAATTATAGTCAACTAGTTAATTGTTTTACAAAATTAGATAGCAAATCTGGTTAACAGTTCTGACGGTTTAAATCTGTGAAGCCTCCTGACTTCTTCATCGTAGAGGTGCGTCGCTAAGGAATTCGGACCACAAATTTGGTTCTGGACTTCTTCCTCTTAAATGGATTTAAAAAAAATCCTTCCAGTTTTCTTGCATGGCGTCCCTGTTTTTTTTTTCTTTCTTACTTACTTACTTACTCGTGGAGCTGAGCCCTTCTTGAGGAGCCGCCAATTCTGCAGCTACTCAAGACTTTCCCAGCACTTTATGGAACCCGAAGGTTCATTACCGTGTTCACAACAGCCCTCCACTCGTCCCTATCCTGAGCCAGACCAATATAATCAATGCCATCCCATCCTGTCTCTCTAAGGTCCATTTTAATATTGTAAGATTTGAGGCTTTCACGGCGGTGACTATGAAGAAAGCAGTCTTCTGGGATTTGGCACCGTGTATATGTGGTGTTAACCGACGTTTCGGAGGAACGTATCGCCTCCATCTTCAGGGTAGAAGAAAAAGTATAAGAAATCTGCAAGCGACAAGACCGTGAGAACGGTAATGCTTTGTAAAGCCTATATTGATAAGAGGACCTGTATATAGTGCAAAAGGAAACATTTTCAATAACATGCTTTATGTGCGATATGCACAATTGAGGAAGGGCCAAGTATATTCATAGGAGACAAACCCATCTTCTCGTCAGAGAGGATACTGTCACGCATCCTCGTAACACGACAGTAAATAATGGGTTCCGGGTTTGATAACTCGATTTATTAGATAAGTCTAAGTTGTAACTACAAAAATTATAACTCTCAAATTATTACTGAAGAACAGCACATAAAGTAAAGTCTCCAGACCTCCTACTCTAATCTTCGCCTGTTGCCTCCGGAACTCTGCTATTGGATTGTCTGTCAGTCCGTTATCTTCGCTACTCTTACAATCTTTTCTTGAACCGTGTAGAAACCACTAGTCTCTCAATTGCCTTGAACTCCTCTCAATTCAACTGCTGAACCACTCTGAACATATTCCTGTCGAATCCCGTCGAACAGTCTTCACTGCTTCATACATAGGCTCGGCACGGTCCACCCTCAGAAAACATCGCTGATCAACAATGGATATCATGTATTTTTGTCAGGCGTGTCCACCCATGCATTGCCTAGTAACGGACGGCCTATTGTTGCGCATTCGTTGCTGTGATATGTTTACCGGTCTGTTACCTAGCACTCGACAGTAGAAGATAATTGAGAACAGACGATGAGAGAGTTGGCAGTTACGGCAGATAATTCGACTCAAAGGGTTCCGGAGTCGATAACTGAGGAATCGAGTGAGTTCAGCTACCTTGGAAGTCCCGCTGTAAAATCTTTATGTGTGTTGTAATTACAGCGAGTGTTACAAACGCGTTGCCACGATACGTATCCTAGTGATTTGTGAAAAGTGTACAATTTGTACATTGTTCACAAATCACTAGGATACGTATCGTATCGCTATAAGGTTCTGATTAATTGTAGTTTTGCTACGAGTTGGCTGTTAAACTCGTCGATAAACCAGTATCTAACCTATAAGGAAGGATAAGCGAAGTAATTTAGAGATTCTTCTGAGATATGGAAAGTAAGAAGAGAACCGAATGGAGATACGCATGGCTCTGCCGTGGACTGTTAAGTATGTTAACGGCCTGGGTACTGGTGTTAGAGGTTAAAATCAAATTGTGGATAGCTCCGTCGAGGCAGGAGACCTCTAACCTGAAGAACGCGCAAGCAGCAGGGGTACCGAGTTCGGGGCCTGCAGAAGTAGCTCAGGAAATACAGGAATTAGAAGATAAACTCTGGGAGAAGATAAATTGTGCAAAAAGAATTAAGGACCGATTGATTTCCCAGTTTATGCAGTTGGACGCTGATATACAAGCAAACGACAAAATCATAAGCGAACTTATGAAAAAGTTGAATGCCCTGAAACATGAGGAAGCAGAAGATGGTGTTGGGAATATCTCCACCAGGGCAGACGGAGTAGATACAGCACAGTTCAATGTACTCCGAATCCTAGGAGTCGGCGGGTTTGGAACCGTATTCCTGGTTCGGAAGAAGGGCGGAGCTGATGCCGGCCGACTATACGCCATGAAGGTGTTAGAAAAATCTTCAATTATTCGAAATGACACCCCTACACACGCACTGACGGAGCGTCTGGTGTTGGAAGCGGTACGCAACCTTCCTTTCCTCGCCACCATTCACTACGCTTTCCAGACTGACACCAAATTATACCTTGTTCTAGATTACGCGCGTGGCGGGAATCTACGGACCAAATCTTATGAACGAAGTTTTACAGAAGATGAAGCAAGAATTTACATCAGTGAGACAATTCTGGCGCTGGAATATCTCCACAAGCGGGGCATCATGCACCGCGACGTTAAGCTGGAGAACATTTTGCTTGACTCAGATGGACACGCAGTCCTCTCAGACTTCGGTGTCAGCAAGATGTTCCTTCCATGTGAGCAGCATCAAGCACATTCATACTGTGGTACATTGGGCTACATGGCCCCAGAACTGATTGAAAGCAGTGACGCGGGCTATGACATGGCAGTGGACTGGTGGAGTCTTGGCATCGTTACACATGAACTCCTCACAGGGGGGGAGTCACCATTTGAAACTCGAAGTGTATCACAGACAAGGAAGGAAATAATTCACCGAATAATTGAGGACGAACCCTGTATCCAAAATGACTTATCCGTTCATGCGAAAGATTTCATCTCTAAATTATTAGTCAAGGATCCACGAAAGCGTTTAGGTGGAGGAGAAGACGGTGCTGAGGAACTCAAAAGACATCCATTCTTAAATGGAATGAACTGGTCTGATCTGGAACAGAAGAAAATATCGGCACCATTTGCACCCCAAGAAACAAACGAGTCACAAGGCAGCAACTCTGTTGAGGAATCCAGCCCCATAAGTTTTGCTGGCTCACCTATCTTTAGTGCAGCCACCCAGACGACTCTTACAAACTTACCTGATAGCCAATTTCCAAACTGTGACGATATATTCTGGGGATATTCATATGTATCACCATCAGTCCATTGTAGTTAATATGAAGCGAGTGATGAAGGGCTGCCCAAACTCAGCTGATCTTATAACTTGTAGGATAGAGTCCCTGAATAAGGAACTGAGTGAGGCAAAACGTGTACAGGTGAGATCCATCATGGAGAAATGAAGATTGGAATCAGACTTGAGAGGTGCCATAGAAAAGATGGAGTTCCTGGAAGCAGAATTCACCAAGACCAACTGGGTATGAAAGAGATACAATAGTGAGGAACGGACGATGAAATGCCTGAGAAGTGCCATAAAAACAACCACGTCACTGGAAGCGGAATTTGCTGAGACAAACAGTGCGCGGCAGAGATGTATTAGGAAGATAAGGAGGCTGAGAACAGACATAAGAAGTGCTACATAGAGACTGACGTTCCTAAAAGCGGAATTGCGATATGAGGCTGTCCACCTTCCTCATGCCTACAGGGCATCAGCTAAAGATTTTGTAGTTGAGTTGTATGTGGTGAATAGATCCAATTACCAAATGAAACCTCGGCTATAGTCACCCCATAAAAGCGTGACAACTGGCGCAAGAAATTGTTGGCTTCGAAGCTATATCGCCACACTGTGGAGTTGGAACAAACGATGGCACGTCTGCTGGATGAAATGAAAGTAACCACGCCAAGACGGACGTCAATCTGAAGGAAATGAAAGAAGAAAGGACAGCTGCCCACCAACTCCTGAAACATGATATGCTGGCCAAGATGAGAGCCAACCAAGAATGGATGGATGCCAAGAGGGATGTCCATCGCGAAAGGATGATGGCCATGATGGACTCTTTAACTGGAGAAAATCGAGGCCGCGTGGATGTGTTCGAAAATTGTTGGGGGAAATGGCCCCGACGGATTCGGAAGCCGTAACGGAGAAGCAGGACAAGATGAGAGCCAACCAAGAATGGATGGATGCCA